TTGATGAAGTTTTGGCGAAAAAGGCGTTTCTCCCAAGCAAAAACGGAACCAACGGGTCTAGCGACTCAACTCTTTATTTTGCCTGTCGCATGAAGGAAAGCAGGTTGCCAAGCAGATCCATAAGCCGGTCTGCGCAAAAGTCCGCCAGATCCCATGTCTGTCCCAAATAGCGCAGGCAGGGCACAATGTTCTCCTTGACCAGAGCGACGATCGAGTCAATGCGTTCACGGAACAGGCTGCTCTGAAACAGGGCATTCAGACACTGCTGGCACGCCAGGAAAATCATAAATGTATACGCTCCGGTAGCGATCGATAGCGGAGGCAGATGGTTGGAATACGGCTCCTCGATGCTCGACAGTTGATTTTCCGGCTGCAGGAAAAAATAGCAGATCCGTCCTAGCGCGTGCAGGGCACCAAACAAAATATCCGCCGACCTGAACTGGACCGGGCCATTCTTTTCGACCGGAAACAGGGTTTCAGCAGAGACACTGCTCGAGTGCACAAATATCAGCTGCATGATCGATGCAAGGTTCTGGTTGTTCAGAACAGTCACCTGGAACGGATACAGCTGCTGGACCGGCTGGTTCCAAACCGAGGGGGACAGCCGCTTGAAATCGCTGTCGTTGCTGGCAAGCATGACTGCCATAATCAAAAAATGAAGCGTCTGGAGCTCCTGCGGCGTCGGGGACGGAGCTCGCTTGGGCAGCATCAGACACTGTCTGGTGAATTTGATGAAAAACACATAGATTTCCAGATTGGGTATACTCGATCGATGCATCCTTGAGTAGTCGTGGTCTTCTGGCTTTTTTGCCGGCAGCTGGGGCTTGTTCATCATCCTCTGCTGGACCTCGGCAAATGTCAGATGCTTGACCAGATGCGCATCGTCAATCACATACGGCTTCCTGTGCGAAACGGAAAAGAACGTGTCAATGACCAGGACCCGATAGATAAGTGAAAGCTGGATGGCCACTCGCTCAATGCCGTCGTGGTCGAGCGACTGCAGATTGTCGGGAACATCCAAGACGCGGAATGCCCGGCATATATGCACCGACTGGAGAAACGCCTCGGTGCCGACATTGATGTCTTTGATAAAAAACTTTGACTGGCAGTAAAGCAGTCTGGAGGCAATAATGTCGTACATGGATCGAATGTCCAGATACGACTGCTGCTCCCAGGTAATGTCCAGCGGAAACAGCGAGTCGGCCCGCTTTTTCCTCAGCTCCTTGGTCGCCTCTGTGTTCCCTCCGTGCAGCGCCGGATGCCGCGACAGCAGACAGCCTTGGTACAGACACGCCCGCTTGAACTGCATGAATCGGGGATTGTGCAGCAGCTGGTCCATTCCGTAGGGAAAGCAGTGGTTGGGGTAAAAGATCAACCCAAGCGACACCAGGTGTGTTTCCAGCACAGGCTCCTGCACAATGGACCTAGGCTGCGGATATAGGTTGGTTGTCGGATCCGAAAAATGTGCCCTGCCTGCCCGCTGCATTTCCCGAACGGTGGATTCGTGGGTCGACCGAGCCGGATGGTTGCTGGTGGCTAAACTAGTCCGCGTCATAAACCTCGGGACGAGCTCTACCGAATTCTCCTCTGGAGTGGCCGGAACGTGTGGGCTGGAGTTTTCGTTGGAAGACTCTTCATTTGTAGACCCCAGACTGGGGTCGCTGGGGCTCTCTTGCAAATGACTGGACCTGCTGCTGGCTGGCGGAAAGCAAAAACAATACAGCTTGCCGACATATAAGACGCCGGCCGGAGCCTTTTCCAGCTTGCAGTTGTCGCAAAAGGACATGTGTTGTGTGGTATCGAATATTTAGTGAAAAGTCAACAGTGCTTGTGTTGTGCCCCAGAGGCTGCTCGTTTGCGGGCCACAAACTGCTGTGTCTGCGCCAGCAGCTGGTCTGCAAAATACGAGGCCACATTCCAGCAGCTGCCAATAAACTTGAGGGCAGGAACGATGTACTCGCGCACAATCGTCACCACAGATGCCACTCTTTCCAGCGGCACGGCGGTCCTGGCAAACGCCTTGAGACACTCCAGCGTCGTCTGGAACACCAGCAGGGCCTGGGTGCCTGTGGAGAACGAACGGGGAGGGAGGTGGTCGGTCCAAGGCTCGGGAACGTCGTTCTTGGCATTTTCGGGAATGAGAAAAAAGTACGATATCCGGCCTATGGTGTGCACTACGGCATAAAGAATCTCGGCGCTTGGGTATAAGCAGGGTCCGGTTGGCTCGATCGGCAGCAGCTGGGTCTCGCCTGCCATGCCCGAGTGGATGAGGGACAAGCTAAATAGCGCCGAGCAGTGCATTCCGCTGGCGATGGAGACTGGCGCAGCCGGCAACAGAGGGATAGGCGTGTTCCACACTGCGGGAGAGAATTGCTTGTAGCCAGGATCGGCGTTGGCAGCCATGACCTTCAGGATGACGCCGTGGAGCACCAGAAATTCACGACGATCCCTAAGATGCCAAGGCAGTCTGGACCAGGTATAGCACCTCCTGCATAATTTTGCAAAAAAGATGCTGGCCTTGAGAGACGGGATTTTGCCGCCATAGGACGACGAAAACTCGTCGGCAGTCTTCTTTAGTATATTTCTATCCTGCGCATGGAGTGGTTTTGCGGTGGCCCGTTCTCTGACCGACTCTAGCGTCGTGCCGGCAAGGATGTTGGAATCGTCAACGATCAAGTCGCTCGCGTTTACCGTAGAAAAGAGGCCGTCGAGAAGCAGAATTCGGTAGACCACCGCCAGTTGGATACAGAGCCGCTCCTCCTCCGCCGGAGGCACGGTGTCCAGCGATGGCGGCAAGCTGAGCATTCCGGCCACTTTGGCAATGTGCATGGCCTGCAGAAGCACCTGGCGTCCGTTGACAAAGTCCATCATGAAAAACCGCGTTTGGCAGTGGAGCAGCTTGCCCGCGACCACGTCGTAGACCACATCAAAGTCGTCGAGCGGCGGCATCGACCAGCTGCAGTCAATGTGGAACACCGAGTTGGCCAGCTGCTGGCGCTGGCTCTTGTTGGGGACTCCCGAGCCGTACAGCGCCGGATGCGCCGAGAGCATGGCACCGTGGTAGATGCAGGCCTTTTTGAAGTTGACGAAGCGGCTATTGCGCTGCAGCTGCTCCAGTCCGTACGAGAACTGGTGGTTGGGATAGTACAGCAGCCCAACGTGGAGCAAGTGCTGCTCCAGCTCTGCCTCGGACGTCGAGAAGCAGGGATCTGGAAATCCAGTCGACTGCGACGCTTGATAAAGTTCCGCTTTTTGTTGTGGCTGTGGCGCATGTCGAGACTTTCTTTGTTCTCCAGTTCCAGCTTGGCTCTTCACGTCCAAGAGCGAGACGGGCCCAACAGCATCCGAGACAGCAGCACCGACTGCGGTGGAGTCTGCCGCCAGAGGGTTGTGGGAGCCAGAGTGCGGCAGAGACTGGTTGGGATTTGGCGGTGGATAGGAATCCCCGGGGCGACAGTGGCAGTATTGCTGGAGAGAAGCGGGCGTTTCCGGTGGAGTTTTCAGGTTGCAGACAGCACAGAACGGAGCGTTGGCCATCAAGGGGAAAAGCGTTTGTCAAACAAGTCCAAAACACGCTTCAACCTAAATCACACATGCCTGACGCACTTGGTTTACAGGCACAAGCCATGGGAACCGTGGGAATCACCGTGGTCTCGCAGCCCACCTTTCACTACTGTCTGCCGTGCGTCGGGTCTGCCCGGGACGGGGCTGACGGGACAAGACCCAAGCGAGGTACGCTGGCGGGCTGACGTTAGCCAAGAGCAGCAGTCCGCAGCGGCCGGCAGCCGTGGTGCAAGTCCTGGCCACGCGGCCCTCGCAAACGGACAGCGAGCAGCTCGTCTACATCCACAGCCCGGGATCGGACAAGCGGCTGGACCGGTGGGTGCCCCAGTCGATGCTTGGTGCTGCCGTGCCGCCGGAACTGCAGCCTCCTGGCGATCAGCGGGAGGAGGAGGAGTTTCTCGTCAGGAACGTTGACCAGATTGTGTTTGGGAGGTACGCTGACTGGGCCAACGCCTTAGATGGAGCGTGGCAGTCTGGTACTATTCGCCCTATCCGCTGCAGCAGTCGGTCTACCAGGAAACCGTGTGGATCTGTCCGGCGTGTCTGCACTACCACACCGCCGAGCTGGACTATGCCCACCACGTTTCGGCCTGTGCATTCCAGACGCCCGGCCAGCTGATTTACCGGCAGCGAGAGCTGTCCCTCTACATGGTCGACGGCAGACAGGACAAGTTCTTTACGCAGTGTCTGTGTCTGGCCGCCAAGCTGTTTTTGGACCACAAGACGATCATGTTTGATCTGGAGCCGTTTTTGTTTTTCGTGCTGGTGCGGCAGGACGCGACGGACAGAGAGGTGCTGGGGTTCTTTAGCAAGGAAAAGCAGAGCCCCGAGCACCACAACGTGTCGTGCATTCTCGTCTTTCCGCAGTACCAGGGCCACGGCTACGGCCGGCTGCTGATTGAGATGTCGTACGAGCTGTATCGGCAGCACGGTAGCTGACTCGGACTGACCGCAGGACTGGTGGGCGGACCCGAGCGACCGCTCTCGGATCTGGGTCTGGTGGGATACAAGCGCTACTGGGTCCAAGTGGTGCTGTGTCTGTTGGTGGAGAATCCACGGCTGGCGATCACGGTACAGGAGACGGACTGACGCGCAGATGAAGGACCTAGCCATTGCCACGGCGTTTCGAGCCAGCGATATTCTGGTGGCACTGGACGAGGTGGGGCTGCTGGGGTACTGGAACGAGGCGACCGGGTCGCTGTGCATTCCCCACGCGCGGGTGAAGGAGGCGATTGCTGCCCACCGCATTGTGTTTAAGCGGCTTGTCGACCCCGGGTGTTTTCTGCCCAATGTCGAGTGGTGAGCCGGCTTGGGCCGCAGACGCCAATAAAGTGCCGGATCTGGCCTGGGACGGGCGGACAACCCAGCAACTGGTATAGCTTTATGATCGATGCGGCTGCAGCCACTAGCACATTCTGGGTAATAAAAGCAAAAAGTGACCCCATAGCGACTCGAACGCTAAACCTTGAGATTTGGAATCTCACGCTCTACCACTTGAGCCATGGGGCCATGTTTATCTGCTCAAGTCAACTTATAAATTCTATGTTCCTTCTTTTTTTTGTTCTTTTTGTTATTGCTGGCAATTGCACTGTTGCTCTGTTTTGGCAAGAGTGTTTGCGTTAATCTAGTTTATTGCATTTTGATGGAAGGAGCGTGCTGGAATGGCTGTCATCAATTGCTTTCGGCGCTGGCGTTTCGGTACAGGGCCAAGTCAACTTCTGTGGATTGCTGCAGTTGGGCTTTTGCGCTTTGCTGAGACTCGAACCGGTCTTGGTCGCGTTTCCACTCTAGTTCCTGTTCTTGAGTCAATGGATCATGCGAAAATTGACAGGTACTGCCTTTGCTGCAGCCGTTTGGTTTGAAGTGGAAAAAGGCACAGGCAAATGCTTTCAAGTCGTGGGAATAGATACACGACTCTCCCTTGAGGCAGGATCCGGAGCGATAGAAGGAACACATTTGGCGAGACCGCGGATCCCAGCCCGGTCCGCTGTGTGAGTGGAAGCAGGATTCGCCTAGCACGCACTTTCCAATCTCCCATTGCGGACATGGCTTCTTCTCGAGCTTTGGCTTGTTTTGTTTCTGCGAGTGTTTGTGGTGCCGCCGAGGCTTTTCGACTTTTGATTTTTTGGTAGTAAATTCCCTCAGGAGCTGGAGCGACTGGGCATCTTGCTGCAGTGGGACCCCATCGCTGGTCTTGGAAGCCCTGCAGTGGTCTCGTGTGTGGGTGGTGCGGTGGCAGCGACTGCAGTGTGTTTCGCTGCTGCCTTTTACGGAAAAGATTTTGTCAAGCAACGCAAGTCCTTTGGCTGTCGCTTGTGTCGTCATTTGTTCGGGCAAGTTTTATAAACCCAATTATGGACAATCTAATAGTTAAACTTTTTCTTGGAGAACTTGGAGGTCCAAATCTTCCTGGTAATCGTCAAAGTACTGGTGCTTCCTGGCATCCTGGGCGGTGATGCGGTCGGCGGGGTTGTATGTAAACATTTTCTGCCGGTAAGCAGCCGCCAAGTACCTGCAGCAGATCGAGGCCGTTCTGGTTCAGACCTGGAACCAGCTCTCCCAGATCAGGCTTTTCTTCGTCGTAGGTGCTGTGCTCTTGGTACTGTTCTGGGTCTAGCACCATCCACTCTTCCTTGGTGGGTCGTCCTAGCGTGCTGTCGTCAGTAGCACGGCCCGCTACCTTTGTATAAAATGAAAGAGCTCTATTTCTCGCGATCCCCGAAATAGCGGCTCTCCTCGCATCATCTCTGCAAAGACGCAGCCCACCGACCAAACATCAATTGCATAGTGGTATTTGGGGATCCCTGCAAACAGCTCGGGGGCTCTATACAGCATCGTCTGGGTTTCTGGGGTAAAGGAGCCCAAAACTCCTGTCGATCGTCGTCCCAGCCCAAAGTCGGCAATTTTGCAGAGATATTTGCCGCCCTGGCAGCTTGCCACCAGGATGTTTTGGGGCTTGATGTCCCGGTGCATCATCCCGTGTTTGTGGATTTCTGCCAGTCCAGCCAAGATGTGGTCCAGAAATGTCTGGGCGAGTCAAGCTGCGTCCGTCCGTACCTGGGCCAGCTTGGGCTCGGAGGAAAGCCCAGATCTCTTGGAGAGAAAATGAAATAGGTCTTGTGAGCAGTACTCCATCACCATGTACACCTGATTGTTGATCATGCACTGGTCCGCTTCTAGTAGTCTACAGATGAGCGGCTGCAGCAGTCCCACCTATGGTTTAGCGGGTTCCCTGCCGCCATACCTAAGCCATGAATCGCATCAAACGGGTCGTACCTAGGGTGAGGTTTGGCTTGTCGTACTCTACCACATTCCTGTGTTTGATTCGGGTCATGATGGATATTTCTCTCAGCGTAGTCGCCAGGATTCCATCGGTGTCGCTGCAGGTTTCCTTGATGGCCACCACCCGTTTGTCCACCTTTGACAGAGCCTTGATGACTTTTCCGTAAACACCTTGGCCTATTAATGTGAGTGCTTGATAGCGATTCCAGATTCCGTGCTGTGAGTCTTGTGCTGTCAACATGGCAAGCAGGAGTAGGCTGTGATGTTCACGATGTTCGTTGTGGGAAGTGATCTCGCCGGATGCCAAAACCAGAGCGCTTATGGCGTAGCACAGGATAATCTTTAATTCGCCAACTTTGCTAGAGTATCCAGATTCATCATCAAAATGTCGTCCACTCCCTCCAGCTTCACAACCCCTTCGTGTCCGTCAATCGACAGCAACGTCCCGATTTTGCCCCGATCTTCGCCCTTCAGCACCTTGAAGGCATCTTTCTTCTGGGGAACAACCGGCACCAGCAGCTCTTCGGTGATGTGGATGGTTTCGCCGCTGGCAAGGTAAATCTGAGCACGGATGCCTTCCACTGCCTTGACAACTCCCACCTGGCCGTCGACCCTGCCCGATGAGAAGCGTCGGTTGCTCTCGACCCGGACCTCAATGTCTGTCGTGACCCAGGCGCCTTGGGACGAGCCGTACGATCCCGTGGCAGCAGGAGTGGCTGGTCCGCCGTGGTAGGGTGTTTCATATGGCGTGGCCGGCGTATGGGCAACGCTCTGCATGTTGGGATACGGCGTCGTGGCTGCAAGTCCAGGCGTTTGGGGGAATCCTGCGGGAGTTGCGGTGTGGTAGGGTGTGGCCATGTCTGCTGGAGTGTTGGGGACTCGGGGAGTGGGTCGTCCATACGCCGGCGTCCTCCCTGATTCCCAGGCCGGTGTTTTGGATCCAGCCTCCCATGCTGGTGTTTTCGATCCAGCCTCCCATGCCGGAGTTTTTGATCCAGCCTCCCAGGCAGGAGTCTTAGACCCGGCCTCCCACGCCGGTGTTTTTGATCCTGCATTCCAGGCAGGTGTTCTTCCTCCCGTGCCGCCGCTCCATGAATCGTAAGGCGTCTTTGAACCCGAGTTGGCTGGCGTGCGTCCGTAGTCGTCGTATCGCGATGTGGGTCTGCCGGCCTGGTAGTTGGGTCGCTTTGGAGCACCTTCTTCTCCCTGGACATTGAGTCGCTCCTTTTCAATGGTGATTGTCCGGGAATTGGTGTGGAGCTCGACACGGGCGTGGGTCTCGGTAGTGTCTTTGACAATCCCCAGATAGCCTTTGAACGGCCCTCCGGATATGGTAACTGTCTTGTTGAGCAGCGGATCGCGAAAGTTTCGGCCCGTGCGTCCAGGGCTGGAAATCATTCGAGGCTGCTGGCTAAAGGCGCTGTTGGGGTTGTTGGCATTGGCCCCCTTTGCAGAAACCAGGACCACGTTGGTGTTTTTGGCAACAAACACACCGCCGTTCTCGGCAACGTCGCGCGAATGTACAAACACAAACGACCGGTACACATGGAGCACGGTTCCTTGCCGTCTGTTCGGTCCCCCATGCTCGTCCATGACCATCACCGGATCCTTGGCCGTGATTGGCCGGTTGTTCATGTCGGACGTGACGGCGCGTCCCGAGTCTCTCCTGCTTCGGATTTGCTGCGGCTTGACCTTGATGACGGACCCAAACGGATCAAGGAGAGTGATGGTGTCTTTTTCTACCTTGATCACAACGCCCAGTTCGTTGGGACTGTGGTTAGCAAGCACACGGAAACACGACGTACGATAGCTGGACCAAATCATGGACATCAAACTGCGATGTGGAGGGGGTGATGGACGTGACGTCGATCGCTTGTCGCAGATCTTTGGTAAACACATCAAACTACGCGTTAACCGATCGCCCGTACGGTTTGCGTGTCCGAGTCCGATAAAATGGTCACGACATTGTTGGAAATGGTAAGCACCAGTCCAGACTTTTCCTTGTGCACGCCATTGACGACCTTGACGTGGTCTCCCTCGACAAAGCGCTTGGCTAGCTCTGCTGGATTGTACTGCACAGTAGTCTGCGGTCTCGTTGAGCGTCTGCCTGGTGCGTACCTTTAGCCCGTAATTCTTGTCGGGCAGCACCGTCACGATTCCGTTTTCAATGCTCTGCACAACACCCTCCATTCCCTTGTTCTGGCCCGACAAAGCAATGACCTTTTCGCCATTCTGAAAGTCTTCTGCCTTGGCGACGTTGCTGCTTGCCAGCAGCGACAGGTCCTCGCTGTTTTCGACAATCGCGCCAGCAGAAAACTTTGTGATTTCCTCGAGCGTTGGGTTGACATTCTTGTAGTCTATTGAGGATAGCTTCATTGTTTTCTCCATGTAGCCCTCTCTGTCGAAAATCTCTCCTTGGTATGTGTATCCGCCCTGCACCTGCTGGACCTCTCGTTTGCTAGAGTGAGTGTGGCGGCCGTACCTGACGTCGTTGATGTTGAACAGCTTCTGGGGATGCTTGAGGTCGGCTTTTTTTCTCTTGCTCATGGAGTCTCGCGAATAGTCGAGCCGGGGGATCAGCTTCACCAGTGCGTTTTCACCCGACTCGGGGACGTCCAGCACCTAGACGTCAGTCCGAAAGCCGCACCTGGCCCAAGTCGCCTCCGTATTTGCCTCGCTTGACGCGTACCCACATCCCCACTTTGATTTCCACCTCCTTGGCCTTGACTCGGAGACAGTCCACCATTTCTCCCACCGGGACAAGATGGAGTTTGGAGCCGTACATGTTGTTCATCCGCTCGATGGCTACTCCATTAGGAGCTGGCACTTACCGTAGACTACGTGCGCCTGTCGATCAGCCTCGATGTATATGTATCCCTTGAGGGAGTCTCTGTAGAAGCACGACATGATCTCCAGTGGCTTCTTGGAGTTTTCCAGGTTTAGGAACTTGCGGCACAGATTGAACACTATGGTTTTTTCGGCGCCGGGCTACCGCTGCATCAGCGACACCCAGGCCAGCCTACCTTGCACTTGACCATCCAGAGCTTGGGGTCGTTTACGGAGGGGATGAGCACCGCTTGTGGCGTGGTGGACGAGTCGCCGCGAAACTCTCCAAACCCTGCCGTGCGACCGTATCTCTCCTTCAGGCGCGCAGCAATGACTTCGGCATCCTCGTCCTGCTGCTGATCCCTCTGCTTGTCTAGCTTTCTGTACCGGGCCTGGTCTCG